GGGCAGACGCAGAACATAGACGCGGGATCCGTGTCCCCAGGGCTGAGCCGGCAGCCTCGGGCACCCTGGACCCGTGCCCTGCGGACTCACAGGCCAGGAAACGAGGCCCTGCTTTCTCCCACCCGGGAGTAGGGCGCTGGGCGCATCCGGCATAGCCCCTGCAGGTGTGGGTGCTGCCCACTGGCCACGGGCTCCCAGGGGCAGCCTGTGTGTTTGCCCCCCACCCAGGGTCAGTGGGGTGCCTTGCACACAGTGTGGCCGCAGGAGCGGTGAGGACTGAGTCGGGCTGATTTTTCACAGGTTCCCCAGGTAGCCTGGCCCGTGTTGCTGTGTGATGTTGACCAGCGAGGCCATGTTCGGGGCTGCTCTCCAGGGCTTCGCGGGGGATCTGACAGGCCGCCCTGCCACGCCTGGTAAGGGCTGTGAGGGAGGGTGGCCCGGGCTCATCGCCGCGCAGGGGTGTGTCAGGAGGGGGTGCGTGCTGGAAGGGGCTGGCACAGGCTGCGCACACCCTGGGGTCTGGCCCCCAGCCCCTCGAGACCAGGCCCTACAGAGGACAGGAGCGCGTGGTGCTGTCCTCGCTCATGGCATCCCAGGGAAGGAGTCTGCCACCGTCCTGGGAAATGGCAGGCGGCTCGTCCTCCGTCCCCAAGGAGCAGCGTCTGTCCGTCCCACACGGCCACCCAGACCTGCTGCCGGCACGGTGCCCCCCTCCCCCTCCGGGCCACCTCTGACCTCCTGTTCACTGTCACTTGTTCATTCAACAGCCTTGTCTTCCGACGTCTGCGAAGTGCTGGGCCTGGGGGCGCAGAATGTTATTCCAGATGTTGAAAAGCCTTCCCGGAGAAGGGGCATCTGTCCAGGTTGGCAACGGCTCTTCCTCCTCCTCGCTGTGTGACCCTGAGGGCCTCGGTTCCTCCGCAGTGAAAGAAGCACGAAGGCATCGCCCCACCCCACACCACTGACCGCCAGGGAGCCATTATCTCCTGTCACCCACCCACCCACAGGTGATCTGGACATGGGCTCGGGGGTGGGGAGACCACACGCAGCCTCCGCCCGGCTCCCAGCATTTCTCAGCCGGAGAACAAGTCCAGAGGCGCCAGTGAAGGAAACACACTGTAATTTGCACCCTCACCGAGAAGAAAGGGGGAGGGGGAGGGGTCTGTCCCCATGTGGGAGTGGGGTCTGGGCGGGGATCTGCCACCCCCCCAGTGGCGCTGCCCCTCTGGCCTGGGCCCCTGGCCGTGTGGGTGCTGCTCACAGCCTCTCCCGGTGACCATGGCCAGCGCCGGGGGAGGCACCGGGCGTACTGACTGTTTGGTGATCGTCGCTGTATTTACAGGGCTTGATGGGGATAAAAATAAAGTGAGGAGGAGCCGCGTGAGTCACCGCGAGCGTGTCAGTGTGGGCTCTGCTCTCCGCTGGAGACAGGAGCAGGGTCCCCACCACCGCCCCTGCGTCGCCTCCCCAGGCCTCCCCGCAGCCAACCCTGTGCCAGAGGGCTGTGGGTGAGGTCAGGGCTCAGGGTGTGACCAGGGTCAGGGTGTGAAGAGGGTCAGGGCTCAGAGTGTGACCAGGCTCAGCTCAGAGTGTGACCAGGGTCAGGGCTCAGCGTGTGACCAGGGTCAGGGCTCAGAGTGTGACCAGGGTCAGGGCTCAGCGTGTGACCAGGGTCAGGGCTCAGAGTGTGACCAGGGTCAGGGCTCAGCGTGTGACCAGGGTCAGGGCTCAGAGTGTGACCAGGGTCAGGGCTCAGCGTGTGACCAGGGTCAGGGCTCAGCGTGTGACCAGGGTCAGGGCTCAGGGTGTGAGCAGGGTCAGCGCTCAGTCTGTGACCAGGGTCAGCGCTCAGTCTGTGACCAGGGTCAGGGCTCAGGGTGTGACCAGGGTCAGGCCCAGAGTGTAACCAGGCTCAGGGCTGAGTGTGACCAGGCTCAGGGCTCAGAGTGTGACCAGGGTCAGGGCTCAGAGTGTGACCAGGCTCAGGGCTGAGTGTGACCAGGGTCAGGGCTCAGGGTGTGAGCAGGGTCAGCGCTCAGTCTGTGACCAGGGTCAGGGCTCAGGGGGTGACCAGGGTCAGGGCTCAGGGTGTGACCAGGGTCAGGGTGTGAAGAGGGTCAGGGCTCAGAGTGTGACCAGGCTCAGGGCTGAGTGTGACCAGGGTCAGGGCTCAGGGTGTGAGCAGGGTCAGCGCTCAGTCTGTGACCAGGGTCAGGGCTCAGGGGGTGACCAGGGTCAGGGCTCAGGGTGTGACCAGGGTCAGGGTGTGAAGAGGGTCAGGGCTCAGAGTGTGACCAGGCTCAGGGCTGAGTGTGACCAGGGTCAGGGCTCAGGGTGTGAGCAGGGTCAGCGCTCAGTCTGTGACCAGGGTCAGGGCTCAGGGGGTGACCAGGGTCAGGGCTCAGGGTGTGACCAGGGTCAGGGTGTGAAGAGGGTCAGGGCTCAGAGTGTGACCAGGCTCAGGGCTCAGCCTGCATCCACAGGTGCGCCATCTCCTGCAGCCCTGACACCCCAGGCAGGCCCCGTGCTCAGACCCGCCTGGGAAGCTGCTGTTAAATGTCCCCATGAGGCACCCAGGTCGGATCCCTCCGTGCGCAGGCCGCCTGGGTGCTGTGTGGGCTGCGGGGCAGGTGCAGAGGGCGGGACCTGTGCAGCCCCCCTGCCCTGTCCCCCGAGAACTCGCCTCCCAGCACCTCTGTTCCGTTTCTGCCTGGAGCTCGGGCCCGGGCGCGGGAGGCGGAGGATGGTCCTGGGCAGCCTCCTCACCTTTGAGCCCCCTGCATGCGGAGGGTCCCGAGGAGCCAGTGCTGGGTGGCCACGCTGCCCCTCCCCAGAGACAACACATGTTCACAGAACCCTGTACACGTTCAGGGCCGCCTCCTCCACATCAGAATGTAGCCGTGTCCTTCCGTGGCCGAGGGTTCGACGGGGTCCACCCGGCCCGTGGACGGGGACCCAGCAGGGCAGGAGCCGACCGGCACATGCAGCCCCGCGCGGACCTCCCGGCGCTGTGCCGAGGGGGGAAGCCGGCCCGGTGGGCCGCCTGTGTGGGTCGTGGCCGGGCAGCTCAGTGGATTAGAGCATCATCCAGATACACCAAGATTACAGGTTT